AAAATTATTCTCAGATTTTGAGGCGTAAGTGGTTGTGGAAAATTGAGACTTGCTTCAAATTTCTACGTTCTAGAAATACAGCCAAGGTTGTGCGGGAGCCAGCCGATTACCAAATCAGTACTTTCATTCTACCAGATTACTCTAAAACCAATTTACCGGCCCGGAGGGTAAAGGGTTTAGTTGTCCCAGGGGCGGGATCGAACCTGGGTCCGATCTGATTATAGCGTCGCCTCATACCACTACGCCACTTGTCCCTCTATGGTTGTTTTTACCGCACTCATAACTCAATCTTTTCCATTTTTTATATATCTGGAAGCAAGATAGGTTGTACCTGTAACCCATCGCACAAGGGTCAAAATCGGATGAGAAAGCGAACTAAAATTAGTTTAGCTTGATTAGCTAGATTGCCCTTTCCAAGGTACACCAACGACTCCCAGGCGCCCCCAATGGCCCCCTAAATCCCCGATATTATCCCATCAGGCCCCAGGATTGATCATCCACATCACAGCTCATGAGAGTGGAGCGATGTATGCGCGAAACATGACACCAATCGTCATGCTAAGTGTTAGTCAGGGCTGTTCGAAGACATCTTGAGTGGCCATCAGCCCCTCCACTGGCGTCAGAGATTCGCCTTTATCGCCTTTCTGATCCTGGATCAGATGGCTCAGTGACGCCTTACATCCGTTCGAGCTGAGAATAAAAACGAAAACAAGGTGTTGAAAATAAGTTGAAAATATGAAAAATGACATCAAAATGGCGATAATCGCGCGGAGCACCTACAGCTTTCAAATAGGGGAATTCTTAGGTTAATTCATAGATCTTTCAAATTTCGAAGAGTCGTAAGTATTTGTTCCTTCAAATTTGTCAGACCTAAAAGAAATACGCGCTTTTTAATCGTGCTTAAAGTAAGAACCAATTTTTTCAAATCGTGGGATACAGGTGATTAAGAGAAGCACTCAGATTGTGATATTTTTGGTTTCTAGAAGTGCCATAAGGTCCAAAAATTCCAATTTTCTTTTTGATTATGTCTTTTCAAGTATAAGAAATTCATAGTGATTGTATGTTTCTACTGACATTACGTACTCGACATTTCGATTCTGTTTCGTAGAAATTTCTAGTATAGATAGTTGAATAGAGCACTTAATGCAGGTTTCGAAGGATATAAAATATAATTTGGAACGTTGTTTCAAGCATTTTAGATGAATTTTTAGCATTTTTTGTTGCAAGGTTGTGGATTAACCCAATATTTTTGAGACAGGTAGTTTTTGTTGGTAAGGCAT